CTCTGTATTCCTGTTCTCTGATTTCTATTCCATTAACAGTTTCTTGCACCTCATCCAGTCTGCTGTTAAGACCTTCTATTGATTGTTTCATGTCTGTTATCTACTTCCGGATTTCATCCCTTAAGCACTTGCATATTTGCAGGTCCATCAGCGTGGTTATGACTTCTATTTTATATTCTTTTTCAAGAACATTGGCTATATCTATCTCACCAGGCCCTGTCTCTGCGGTTGTCTGAGTTATTTTTGAGTAGACCTGATTCTTCTGCCTTGTCATAGCGGTAGAAGTGGTCACAGGCTGGTGGCATGTGTGTCAGCTGGGAGAACAAAGTCCATTCATTCTTGTTGGTCACCTTGCCCTTCTCGGCTGGCTTTACTGTCTACCCACACACCGACAGTCAGTCTGTGGGATAATCTCCCGATCTGCCATTCATGGGACGGCCCCTGGGCTAGCCTAGGGCCCTGTGGGGGTTCGCAGCCACCCCCTGAGAACCTGAGAGCACGGCGCCCCTTCATGCTTTCCTGACCTTGGTCTGGCTTCCACTCCCTGTGCCGGTTACCCGCACACCGGGAGCAGTCTGGGATAATCTCCTGAGCTGCCGTGGGTGGTGCGGCCCTCGGAATAGCCAAACGCACTGCAGGGATTGGCAGACATACTGGTTGTGTTCTGTGAGAACGGCACCCCTTCATGCCTTCTGGACCTTGCTCTGGTTTCCTCTGTCTGTCCCGGTTAGCTGCGCTCTGGGAGGAGTGTCTGTGTGGTTGCTGTGGGCGGGGTTGTTCTCCGGGTGCTCCCCAGCTGCGGCAGGTCAGCTGATTTGATTGCAGCGCCTGCCGGGGGGGAATGCATGGCAGGTTGCTTATTCCTGAGAGGGGCTTTGGGGCTGCTTTAACCTCCAGGGATTAGGGAGCCTGAAATTCTTCAAGATTCCCAGCCTGCTGGGCTTAGTGTGCTGGGACAATTTTGTCCAGTTGTTGAGCCCTTGTCCCTTTAAGACTTTTAAAAAGTGCCTGCTTTTCTTTTGTCCCAGGTGAGTTGGCTGTTGGGACCCGCTCACAGTCTCCATCTTGGATTTTACTTTTCCGTTTCTCCAATATCCAGTATGCCATGCAATGTGTGTCTGTGCTCCTGGTGCAGATTACTAGGGCTGGTTATTTAGCAGTCCTGTGCTTCCACTCCCTCCCCACTCTGATTTTTTTCCTCCTGCCGGTGAGGTGAGGTGGGGGTAGTGCTCGGGTCCCGCCTGGTCTTGGCTTTGTATCTTACCCTTTTCGTGAGATGCTGAGTTCTCGCAGATGTGCATGTAGCTTGGCTGTGTACTGTTATCTTCTGGTCTTTCTTTTAGGAATAGTTGTATTTCTTGTATTCTCAAAAATATATATGATTTTGGGAGGAGATTTCTGCTGCCCTACTCATGCCCCCTTTCAGTCATGATCTATTCATAAAAATGTTCCATGTGCACTTGAAAAGAATGTGTTCATGATGCTTTTGGGTGTAGAGTTCTGTAGATATCTGTTAGTCCATCTGTTCTAATGTGTTGTCTAGTGCCTCTGTGTCCTTACTTATTTTGTGTCTGGTGGCTCTGTCCTTCAGAGTGAGTGGAGTGTTGAAGTCTCCTAGAATGAATCCATTGCATTCTATTTCCCCTTTTAATTCTGTTAGTATTTGTTTCACATATGTAGGTGCTCCTGTGTTGGTTGCATAGATATTTATAATGGTTACATCCTCTTGTTGGATTGACCCCTTTATCATTATGTAATGTTTTTTATCTCTTGTTACTTACTTTGTTTTGAAGTCTATTTTGTCTGATACAAGTACTGCAACACCTGCTTTTTTCTTCCTATTAGTTGCATGAAATATCTTTTTCCATCCGTTTACTTATAGTCTGTGTGTGTCTTTGGGTTTAAAGTGAGTCTCCTCTAAGCAGCATGTAGATTGATCTTGTTTTTTTATCCATTCACTGAGTCAGTGTAAGCATTTTTACAAAATGTCTTTTGGTGCACGTGTGAATGAATTTATTTGGACATATATCTAGAATTGGAGTTTCTTGATCATAAGTTATGCATATATTCAATCTTACACAGAAATATTAAAGCTTTCCTGAGTGAGTGTATTAATTTGTACTCCTATGAGAAATATGAGAGTTCCATTGGTCCACATCCTTGCAAACACCTGTTATTTTGACTCTTAGAGACTTCTGATGGATGTGTAGTAGTATCTCACTGTTTTTATTTTATATTTTTTGTGCCTACAGGTATATATTACTGAGGTATGCCTGTAATGAGATTGAGCACCATTTCATAGGCTAATTAGCCATTTGGATATTTTATGAGAAGTACCTGCTCAAGTCTTTCATCTGTTTTAAATATGAAATTGTCTATCTTTTCCTTATTTTTGTATTGAGATTCTTTATATGTTTTGGATGCAGGTCTTTAGTCTGACATACATATATTAATATTTTCTTCCACGCTGTCATTTGCTTTTCATTCTTTTTTGTCTTTTTAGAGCTATTACTCGTCAAACAGAATGTGTAATGTAACACATTTTTTTCCTTTGTGGTTAATGTTTTCATTTATGGTTGAAAAATCTAAGCGTCATGAAGATGTTTTCTTATATTCTAAAGTTTTACTGTTTTACTTCACATTTTGATTATATAATTCATTTGGAATTAATTTTTATATGTGGTTTTGGTGAGGGATCATGATTTGTTTTCATTATTGACAATCATTAGACCTCTCCTAACACTATAGCAAAGACAGTTCTTTTCTCTCTGTACCATTTTTGTCAAAAACAGATGTCTTTATATGCATGACTCTAGCATACTCCATTAGTCTGTTTGCTTAATATTGTGTTATTTGTACATCATCTTAATTTCTGGAGCTTAGAAGTCTTGTTGTCTTGTAAAGCAAGTTCTACCTCCCTCATTTTTTTTTTAATTGATGTATAATTGACATACTACATTAATATTAGTTTCAGGTGTATGGTATAATTCTGTATTTGTATGTATTGCAAAGTAATCACAATTTAGTTAACATCTGACACTGTGTATAGTTAACAAAAGATATTTTTTGTTGTGATGAGAACTTTTAAGAACTGTTCTCCTAACAAGTTATAAATATGCAATCCAATATTAACTATCGGCATACATCAGAGATACTACGGGTTTAATTCCACACTACCATAATAAAGTGAATACTGCGATTAAATGAGTCAAATGAATTTTTTTGTTTCCCAGTGCATATAAAAGATATGTTTACACTATTCTGTAGTCTGTTTCAATATGCAGTAGGTGTGTATCTACAAAAAAAGTACATAACCTTATTTATAAAATATTTCAAAAATTGCTAACCATCATCTGAATTTTTAGTGAGTCATAATCAGTGATCAGAGATCACCGTAACAAATGTAATAATAATTTAAAAGTTTGAAATACTGTGAGAGTTAGAAAAATGTGACACAAAGATGTAAAGTGAGCGGATGCTGTTGGAAAAGTGGTGTTGATAGACTAGCTTGATGCAGGTTTGTCAGAAACCTTCAATTTGTATAAAATGCAGTGTTTTCAAAATGCAGTGAAACAAAGCATAATAAAATGAGGTATTTCTGTATAGCCACTGTGCTGTACTTTACACCCCCACACCCAGTCACTCTTAAAGTGTGATTTGTCTCAGTGCATTTGGAATCGTGACTTATACACTTGAACTGAGTATATAAATCAATTTGGGGATAACTGTCATCTCTACAGTACTGAACCCTCTAATGTAAATATGGTAAATGTGTTTTTATTTGTATGTTACTTCTCATAATTTTCTATTATTTATGTAGAGGTGTAATATATCTTTGTAAGATTATTCCCAGGAATATGATACTTTTTGGTGCTGTTGTAAAGAGAATATTTTTGAAAACTTTATTTACTATTTGTTCCTGGTCTATAAGAAATAAATATATATTAAAAATATTGTTTGTATGTGTTTGTATATGTGTATTTATATTTATTTGTTTGCATTAACTTTCTAAGTCATAGCCTTGCTAGTTATTTCCAAAAAATGTTCATCTGGAAATTATTTTGGATTTTCTACTAACATGATCATATCATGTCAGAGTTACACTGGTTTTAAATCTTTTCTATTTCCATTTTACTCAGTTTCCTTTTTTTTTAAGTAAGGTATCATTGATAGACAATCTTACAAAGTTTTCACACGAGCAATACTGTAATTTAATCAGTTTCTTGAGTGTTGTATTGTCTAGGACCGTCATTTCAAGTTGAATAAACGCATTCTTGTTTAGTTCCTAGTCCCAGTAGGAAAGTTTTACCATTTAACCATTAGTGTAGTATTTCCTGTAGTATTTATACAAATATCTTTGATTAGATTAGAGTGAAGTCATACATCTGTATTCCCAATTTATTTTTAATTTGTAACCTTTGCATGTGTCAGGGCATATAAACTGTGCAATAGTTTGTTGTTTGACGATTTACTTAGGATTGCTATTCTGATATGATGTTTAAATCACTCTTTTTGAGAAGAAAACTATAATGGTAAACACATTAGGTTTGTAAATGAGTTGGAGTATCAAGTAGAAAAAAGGAATAAGGTTTATTGTAACTTTTTATTTGGGTACTTAAAATATGCTTAATTCAGTAAATGTTGATACTGTAATCAGTGTGACTATCAATTATATTTGCCTTATATGGATATTGATGTGATTAGAAATCAAAGGTAATTTATATTTTTTTGAAGGAGGGATGGGATGGTTCATTAAAATAACTATTCAGCCAGGGCTGATAATCTGATTGATTTTATGTATGTGTATAAAAAATATAGATAGATTCAATTATTTTACCTGATCTATGTGTAATTCTATTTCTTTATCCTTTTCAAAAATAGATAAAATATATATAATTTAGAGACAGCAAAATACTAAATGCTCTTCTTTTTAACTGAAGTGAAAATATACATGTTTTTCACATATTCATTATATATTAATTTCATCTATTTCTTTACAGATTAGAATATGGCTACATATCCCTGCTGTCATGCAGCACATTATCCCTTTTAGAACCTATGTTATCAGGTAAGTTTATATAATCTTTTCCTGTTGATTATCACTAATATATTTAAATAATTTATAACAGCATATTTCAAACAATTATATTGTTTGAAAGTTCCTCGTATTCACATTCTCTACAGAAAATTGTAATTGACAGTTTGGCAAGTAGTGTTTTGTATGCACACGTGTAGGTTTATATTTAATGTTACTTTTAAGAAATTTATGTTGGACTTTTTAATATAAATGTATAAAAAAGTTAAAGAGATTAGTAATGGTTACTTGGTATTCCATTTTATTCAGTCAACAAATATATACTAAGCACTATGTTCTGGAAACGGGCAGATCAGAGAAAAAAATTTCTCTTTGTTTGCAGTCTATGTACAGAATACATAAGTAAATTATATAGTTCATCACAAAGCGATGAGTATTACAGTGAAAGTAACAGAAGTGGATTGAGAGTTCTAGAGGGTGGGTTACAGTTTTTAAAATGGGGATAGAAAAGGTCTCATTGAGGAGGTGACATTTGAGTACTGTGAGTCTCAACCTAAGAATAAAATCGAAGGATGCACAAATTATTTATTGATTAGAATTAAAGAGTGCGAACTATTGATTTTCTAAGGTTTATTTCTTGGTAATATTTGAGTTCTTCATACCTTTTCTTCTTCATTCACAAAAATTTGAGTGCCTGCTGTTTTCCTGATACTGTTGGAGTTTTTGGAGAGTGTATCAGGGGAAGAATCAGTAGTGATGAATGCTATGCAAGCAGAGTACATGTGATGGAGAGAGGGGATATGAGGCTTTTCTGAAGGTGACATCTGAAGAACATGAATCCTGTAATTAGAAGAACATATTCCAGATAGAAGGAACATAAGGGCATAGGCATTGAAGTTGGAAAGAATGTGACCTACTAAGGGACCTGGAAGTGGTCTGGTCTGGAGCATAGTGTGTAAGAGGGTATAATTATGATAAGAGGTTGGATAAGCAGGGGCAGCTTATTCCAGACCTTCAAGACTTTGTAAGGAGCTTGGATTTAATTTTAGTAGTGGGAATCTATTGAAGGGTTTTAAGCAGATGAGTCATGATGGTTTTTAAAGATGACTTTGGCCTTTAAGTGGATCATAAATTTTTGGTGAGTGGGTGGTGTTGGAGTGGAATTGAGGAGAGCAATTGAAAGGTTAATGTGTCCTGGAAACAAATGATGGTTACTGGCACAAGGATTGTTTAAGAATGGTATAAGTGAAAATGAGATTGACAAGATTGGTGATTGTGGAGTACAAGGAAAAGGTAGCATCGTGCATAACACTTAACCCCTTTCCCCTTGATTTTTTTTTGTGCTGTGGATATCATTAACAGCTGTGAAAGAATGGGAGCACTTGAAGACTTAATTGTGAGATGCCTGTGGGACATTGAAATGGTACTAGCAAGTTGGGAGTATAAACCTATAATTCAGAACATCATTAATTTAGGGGTTGTCAACATAAAGATAGCACTTAAAATCATGGGAGTGAATGAGGTCATTTGGGGAGAGAATGTAGAAAGAATAGAAGTGAGTCAAGGAGAGAGCCCTGCAAAAAGTTGCTTTTGCTGTGTAAGGAAACAATCCTTGAAACTTAGTGGCTTAAAATAAGAGCCATTTATTATTTCTCACAGTTCTCTGGGTCGGCTAGCTCTTCTGAGCTGAGCTGATGTGGCTGGAACTGAATGCTCTAGAATAACCTCACTCATATGTCCTGTGCTTGACTGACTAGTCTTGGGAGGGGAGCAGAGCTCTTATATGTCTTGCATTGGTTAGACATTAGTTGAGGCATCAGCCATGTCTCTTTCATCCAGCAGGCTAACCTGCGTTCCTTTTCTTGGTGGTGGAAGATTTGCCAGCAGGAGAGGGTAAGCTCAGAGACATTCAGGCTTCTGCTTATGTCATATATCTTAATGAATATATATGATATTCATTAGAAGTTTCCAATTTTTAGCCCCAAAAGAAGTTTCATGGCAAAAGCTCTGATTCAAGGGAGTAAAGAAACATGTGACCCTTCTAGACAGAAGAGTGGCAAAGTTATATTGCAAAGGCCTCTATATACAGTGATGGAAATAATTTGGGTGCTTTTTGCAATCTATTACAAAACTTGAGGAACACTAAGGTAGAAAGATTGGAGGAACTAATGAAATAGAATAGGCATTACCCGAGAGGAAAACCAGTGGTTTGTGATTTTTGGGAAATGAGAAGCAGAATAATGTTTAAAATGTCCACATTTGAAAGAATTTTGACTGTATGGGGGAGTTAGATGTATTGTTTATATGAGGTCAGCTTAAATACACTAAAACAGGAGGTATATATATGACAAGTATTAGAAAATAGTAAAGTTTTACTGAAGGTGCAGAATCTGATTTTAAATGATTTGGCTCCATTCAGTTTTCTGATTGAAGTTGGTTTCTCAGCAAAGCAGATGTTTTGCTGAGGTCCTTGAAGCATCACAGTCCTGAATCATTTAGAAATAGTTGAAATTGGGAATGTTAAATCCCAGGATGCCAGGTTCTACTATGTTAACTATTCTGGAGGTATGTTAAACATGGAGCAAAGGAATATTAGTGAATTATTGAGTGGTTAGAAATAGCTGGCAATTTTTTGTGTATTTTATTTCTGAATCATTTCAGGTACTTATGCAAGCTCTCTGATCAAGAGTTAAGACAGAGTGCGGCTCGTAACATGGCTGACTTAATGTGGAGCACAGTGAAAGAACCATTGGATACAACTTTATGCTTTGATAAAGAAAGCCTAGATCTTGCTTTTAAGTACTTTATGTCACCTACTTTGACTATGAGGTTGACTGGACTAAGTCAGATAACGGTAAGCTGTATTTGCTTTATTTTTGGTCATTTTTATTTGCCTTCCTGACGCTCATCATCAGAATTCCTACTATTTATGCATCAGTTACCTTATGCTAGGCATTATGTTTTATGTGCATTGCTTTGGTCCTTACAAAGAATTTCTGTATTTTCCCTATTTTAAATATGAGATTAGGCTTACATTTAGAGGAATTTATATGTCACATTTTTTTTTTTTAATGAAGATACTAAATTTTTTCTTACTAAACTGTTCTTATTTTCCTGCAAAGCTATTGCTTCAGTGTATTAAAATAGCACCAGTAAAGACAGTATATCACAATTATTCTTCATCTGACAAGTACAACAAAAACTTTTGGCCACTGCAGTTATTCCCAATGGAAATAATCATTAAGTATTTTGACCCAAATCAAGAGATGGATACAAGCAAGTTACATAAGACTTAAGATAACAATGTTATCCTTAAATTAGAGAATTTTTATACCTAGCTTTTATCACAGATCATTTTAGCAACTGTGAATACTATAAAAGTAGCCTAGCCTAAAAATCATAGGGTATTGTAGAAAAGATGCATATTGTGTTTATTTGCACTCATTAGAAAGTTAAGGGGTTTTTCTTCCAGCAGCATTGTTGCAGGTAGTTTCTTTTCCCATTGGTATTGCTAAAAGTTGTTTAAAAATTTCTATCCATCACTAATTTAAGACTATGAAAGATTAAGTTGTTTCATAATAGTTGAGGGCTTCTGTTTTCACTCAGTAGATATTATGTATTTCTCATATGCATCTTGATCAGGCAACTGTTTTCATAACAAGATTTGTTGTTAAGTCCTGAATTTTCTCCAAGAGCATTATTAATTTCAGTTACTTCTCCTCATAGAGAAGACTACAGTTCCATAGCAACTTTCACACTTTCAAAGCTCCATAATCATCTTGGTTGTTCAATTTTGCTGCAACTTCAGGCAGGCTACCGTAAACATCTCCCAACGCATCCTGTACAAAATCGATTCCCACTGTTCCAATTCCATTTTGTATTGTTACTAATTCGTGTTTTCTCTGAAATTATGCATGGAGAGCAGAGCAGGGCCTGTGCGCAGCTTCCTGACCGTGTCTGCCCTGAGCCCACAGGACTGAGGAAGGCACCAAGACAGGGACTAAGCTGCAAACTGTGGCCTGTGTGCTCTGGGCCATGCCGAGAGATATGTTTGTGGCTGCACCTCAGGCCTTTTTGATTTCAGGGTCCAACTCCTTCACCATTCTTTTAAAAATTGAAGTATAGTTTGATACACAGTTTTTTTAATTGAACTCTTGTTGATGCACAATCTAACATTGGATTCAAGCATAAAACAGTGGTTCTAACAATTACTCATATAATTAAATCCCTACCCCAACTAGTACAGTTGTTATTTGTCAACATAAGATGTTACAGAATCATTGGCTATATTCTCCATGATGTCCTTCTATCCCTGTGACCAATTACGTTATGATTGAGAATTTTTGTGCCCTCAACTTCTCAACTCACGCACCCTAGTTCTTCTCCCATGGTAAACAAACCCTAGTCCCTTTGCAGTGTCTGTGAATCTACTTCTATTTTGTTCTGTTTGGCTTTTATATTCCACAAAGAAGTGAAATCATGTAGTATTTGTCTTTCTCTGACTGACTTATTTCCCCTAGCATAATACCTCTAGGTCCATCCATGTTGATAAAAATGGCAGACTTGCTTATTTTTTTTGCTGATTGAATAATACTCCACTGTATATATGTACCACTTCTTCTTTATCCATTCATCTATTGATGGACACTTAGGTTGATTCTGTATCTTGGCTATTCTAAATAATGTGGTGATAAACATAGGGGTGCGTGTATCTTTTCGAATCAGGGATTTTGTTATCTTTGGGTAAATTCCTAGCAGTGGAATTACTGAGTAAAATGGCATTTCTATTTTTACCTTCATATTGCTATCCACAGTGACTGCATCAATTTAAATTCCCACCAACAGTGTAGGAGGGTTCTCTGTTCTCCACATCCTTGCCAACACTTGTTATTTCTTTTCTTTTAGATAGTGACCATCCCAACTGGTGTGAGGTAATACCTCATTGTGGTTTTGATGTACATTTCTCTGATGATTAGTGATTTGGAGCATCTTTTCATATGCCTGTTGGCTGTCTGTATTTCTTCTTTGGAAAAATACCTATATGGGCCTGCCACACATTTTTTAATTGGGTTATCTTTTTTTTTTTCTGTGTTAAGGCATAAGAGTTCTTTATATATTTTGGATGTTAACCTCTTACTGGATAAATCATTTACAAATATGTTCTCCTATACTGTACAATGCCTTTTGGTTCTTCTGATGGTGCCCTTTGCTGTACAGAAGCTTTTTAGTTTGATGTAATCTCACTTGCTCATTTTTTATATTGTTTCCCTTGCCCAAGGAGATGTGTCCAGGAAAAAGTTGCTCATGTTTATAGTCAAGAGATTTTTGCCTATGTTTTCTTCTAAGAGTTTTATGGTTTCATGACTTACATTCAGGTCTCATATTCAAGTTTACTTTTGTGTATGGAGTTAGACAATAATCCAGTTTTGTTCTCTTACATGTAGCTGTCCAGTTATGCCAACACCAGTCAATGAAGAGGCTGTCATTTCCCCATTGTATATTCATGGGTCCTTTATCGTATATTAATTGCCATATATGCTTGGGTTTATATCTGGGCTCTCTGTTCTTTTCTATTGATCTGTGTGTCTGTTCTTGTGCCAGTACCAAATTGTTTTGATTACTGTGTCTTTGCAGTAGAGCTTGAAGTTAGGGAGCATAATCCCCCCGGGTTTGATCTTCTCAGGATTGCTTTGGCTAGTCGGGGTCTTTTGTGGTACCATTTGAAGTTTAGAACTATTTATTTGTTCTAGTTTGTTAAAGAATACTGTTGGTATTTTGATAGGGATTGCATTAGATCTGTAGATTGCTTTAGGCAGGATGGCCATTTTGACAATATTAATTCTTCATGTCCATGAGCACTGGATGTGTTTCCATTTATTGCTATCTTCTTTAGTTTCCCTCTGAGTGTTTTTTTTTGGTTTTCAGGTTATAGGTCTTTCACCTCCTTGGTTAGGTTAAATTCCTAGGTATTTTATTATTTTTAATGCAACTGTAAATGGAGTTGTTTTCCTGATTTCTCTTTCTGCCAGTTTGTTGTTTGTATATAGGAATGCAACAAATTTTTGCATATTAATTTTGTATCCTGCAGCTTAGCCGAATTCAGTTATTACTTCTAGTAGGTTTTTGGTGGATTCTTTAGGGTTTTTATATACAGTATCATGTTATGTGCAAACAGTGACAGATTAACTTCTTTCTTATCAATGTGGATGCCTTTTATTTCTTTGTGTTTTCTGATGTCTGTGGCTAGGACTTCCAGTAACTATATTGAATAAAAGTGGGGAGAGTGGGCATCCTTATCTTGTTGCTATCTTAGAGGAAAAGCTTTCACATTTTAACTGTTAACTATGACATTGGCTGTAGGTTTGTTGTATATAGCCTTTATATAAGGTACTTGCTCTCTGTATCCATTTTGTTGCCAGTTTTTATCATGAATGGACGTTGAATTTTGTCAAATCCTTTTGTGGCATCCATGGAAATAATCTTGTGATTTTTGTCCCTTTTGTAGATGTGGTGTATGATATTGATGGATTTTTTAAGGTTGTACCATCTTTCCATCCCTGGAATAATTCCCATGAAGGATGATCTTTTTGATGTATTTTTGAATTTGGTTTGCTAATATTTTATTGAGTATTTTTTCATCTATCTTCATCAGGGATAGTGGCCTGTAATTTTTTTTGTGATGTTTTTGCCTGGTTTTGGTGTTAGAATGATGCTACTCTCAGAATGAGTTTGGAAGTATTCCCTCGTCTTCTATATTTTGGAATACTTTAAGAAGGATGTGTATTAGCTCTTTAAATGTTTGATAAAATGTAGTTGTGAAGCAGAGGAGGAGCCAAGATGGTGGTGTGAGTAGGGCAGTGGAAATCTCCCAAAACCATATATATTTTTGAAAATACAACAAGTACAACTATGCTTAACAGTGAGACCAGAAGATACAGTACAACAGCCAGCCTACATCTACATCTGCAAAAACTCAGCATCTCACGAAGTGGGTAAAATACAAAGCAACGACCTGGTGGGACCTGAGCGCTCCCCCAGCCCCACCTCTCCAGTGGGAGGAAAGGAGTCAGAGTGGGGAGGGAGGGGAAGCACAGGACTGCTAAATAACCAGCCCTAGTAATCTGCACCGAGAGCACAGACACACATTGCATAGTGTGCTAGATATTAGAGAAACAGAAAAGTAAAATCTGCGAGCAGGTCCCCACAGCTGGCTGCCCTGGAACAAAAGATAAGTGAGTGCTTTTTGAAAGTCTTAAACGGACAGGGGCATAACAGCTGTATGGAATCATCCCAGCACACTCAGCCTGGCAGGCTGCAAATCCTGAGGAACTTCAGGCCCCCCAAACCCCTGGGTGACAATGCAGCTTTGAAGCCCCTCATGGTGATAAGGAGCCTGCCAGTCGTTCTCCCTGGCCGGTGCTGTCCTGCCACAGTGGTAGAGAAGCTGGAGAGCGGCGGCACTCACAGGAGCCGCCCAGAGTCTCCTCCTAGCGTGCAGCTGCCCAGGCCAGACCCAGAGGCTGCTGCCGGTGTGCAGCTGCCTGGCGCAGGCAGAGGAGGCCAGGGCAAGGTGCAAACGGGCACTGTTCTTACAGGAGAGCACACCCAGTGTGCCTGCCACTGCTTGCAGGGCTTTGGGCTACTCCAAGGGCTGCCCCGCCCACGGCAGCTGAGGGGATTAACCCAGAGGCTGCTCCCACGGTGCAGGTAACCAACACAGGCAGCAGAGAAGGGCAAGGCGACTAGCAAGCAGGAAGGGACTTTGTTCTCCCAGCTGAAACATGCACCACCTGCCTATGACTACCTGTATCACCATGAAAAGGCAGAAGAATTTGTCCAGTCGAGAATCACCAG